GGGCGGCGACAGCGGCGCGACAGCAGCTGGAGGGCGGAGGAGGCGGGTTTGTGTTTCCCGGGCCGAACCGGGCTGTGGGGGGCACGGACCCGGGAAGGGGCAGTGGCCGAAGGCTGCGGTGACAGCATGAGCGAAGGGGAGGGGTCCAGGCCGGAGTTCTGACCCGAGGTTGGTGTCCGCGAACCCGCAGCGCGCCCCGTCCTGTCCTTGCCATGAGGCCGCAGCAGGCGCCGGTGTCCGGGAAGGTATTCATCCAGCGAGACTACAGCAGTGGCACCCGCTGCCAGTTCCAGACCAAGTTCCCCGCGGAGCTGGAGAACCGGGTACGCAGCCTGGCGCCCCGAACCTGCTTGGGGCGACGGAAGGAGGCTCCCGGGAGGCGCAGGGGCAGACTTCCGGTTTGCGGAGTGTCTTGGGGCTCTGGGGTGGGGCAGGCACGGGAGGCCTTGGCCCTGGGTGTCCCGATAGGGCCTCTGAGCAAGACCTGGCGCTCGGAGGGGCAGGAACAAGGCCAACCCCGTCGGGGAGCTGCGTGATGCCCAGGGCCGGCGGTCTGCACCCAGCAGTCTCCTCTGCTGCCTCGCAGCCCCGTGCCCGCCCTGGTTGTTGACCACAGGGACAAGGAGCTGGCTCCTGATGCCCCAGGCCACCTCATTCAGCAGGTTGTAAGTCTGCCCTCCTACCGCTCCATCATTCTGGTGCCTGGCGTTTGTAGTCACGTGTGGTCGCTCTGCTCTGCGCTGAGCGTTTCCCCACTGCCGTGCCAGACCTGGAGCCGGGCCTTCTTGGAGCCTGACACTCGCAGAGCACTCGATGGGTCTGGACGCGAGACTAGCCCAGAACATCACTCCCAGCCTCGGTGACTGGGAGCCACCTGTGTTGCGCCTCAAAGCCATCTCTAGGATTTAGGACCTTTGGGGAATTTGCTACAGAAATGGAAGAATGGGATGTTTTTGCTTTCTCAAACTTAGTACTCCTCACCCCAAAAAGATCTTTGTATCTTTTTGCAGCGATACAGTGGAGTGTGTATGTGTTTTCTTGCACCCCTGAGTGTACACCCAACCAAAGGATTGTTTTAGTCTTGAGCCAGGTCACTTAGATTTGTTTCCTGTTCCGAGGTTCGTTCCTGGTTAGCTTGGAGCAGGTGAGGGACTGAAGTGATCTGGTTCACTGTGGGCGTGTGACTAACAAATGCTGGTCATGGAGTGAGTGGGTGTGATGAGACTCTGTTAAAGAAATATGTAACCATCACTTCAAGTCGGTCTGTAGGCAGGTGGGTCACTCTGCCTGAATGCCAAGGCTGGAAAATCAGCGATGAGCAGCTAGGTTCTTTCAGCTTGATTTGTAACCACAGGCAGGTTAGTGGCCCAGATGTGTTTACTTAACTGCAAATTAAAGATCAAGCATGTTTTCAAAAGATGGTGTGAAGATTAGCTTGTTTGTGAAGTGCCACTTAAACACTGTAGTTTGTTGTTGGAGATGTTGTGAGTTAGGTGACAGGGACATTTCCACAGTGCCTTGAAGAGGGGGGTGATTGAGCAAGCTGATGGTTGGAGCCATTGAATTCATCTTTAAAATAATTTCACATCACAAGTAACGTGTTTTACATGTTAAGACGTACCTGAAATGAATCAAGTGTTTTAGATTTAAGCATCTCATGGAAACTATAACTTATATAATTTTTTGTGCTTTCAAATCAGAACAAAGTAATCTTTTTTGCTACCCTTACTTGGGTTTTAAAGTCAAACTTCTCATAGTTGAGCCGATAAATGCAGAATCAGCCCTCCACTCTCTGTGTGAGAGCTTTTGTCTTAACAGCCTACACGCAGAAGCACGATTTAGCCGCAGTACTCTCCTGGTTGTTATGGGAAAATGTTTGTAAACTCGAGGGTCCGTGTTCTCCTTTGACTTCATGCAGCCCAGAACTGCCATGGTACCTAGGACTACATGGGCTGTTACATGGGGGTATTGAGTAGTGCCTCTGACTTTTTTCTTTCTTTTTAAATGTTTGGGTTGAAACACTAGTTTATACTTTAAACCAGTTGGGAAAGCTTTTTTTTTTCCCTGTGCTGAGATTAAATTTAAATTACAGGTTTAAATTTGCTCTGCTTTGTTTGATGGAAAATTGAAAGGTTTCTTTCTTTGTTTCGCTACTACTTACCCAAGAAATTTTACTGATGGTTCTGCCACTAGGACCGATCTTTCTTTTGTGAGAACATCACACTTGGCAACTCAATAGAGGAAGAAACTCATACACAAATATTTAAAGTGTTATGAAAAAGTTACACATATACTGCGCCCTTTAATTTGGGAGTAAGGACGAGTCCTGTCTGTTAACGGCTTTCAAATCTACTGCCTTTTGGAATTAATACTTTGATGCTTAAGTGCTTTGTTGCCAGAACAACTCTTTAAAGAAAGCTTTATTCTCATTTTAACCAAAATACAGCGATCTTAGTCACCTGTGGTCAGGGTAGAAGAAGAATGAGTGCACTGTCATGTAATGAGGCATTGTTCCCCACACAGCTTTAAACATCTCCCCATCTGTACTCAGTCGAGATGGCCTTTGCGCGCCAAATTAGACTTCAGCACCATGCGTTCTACCACGTACGTCAACAAGAAATGAACACGCTGGGAAGATGAGCCCCATTCTTGCTTCCATTTTGCTTTTCACTGTGTACTGGTCCACATTTGTGTTCGGCTCAGACCCCACACGTGCTCACAGTGGATACAGCTCCTGCACTGCTGTGCAACACCTGAGGGAGGGAGACACTGAGAGCTGGTGTTTGCAGAGCCTACCTCTGCCTCAGTGAGCCCCTGCAGGTTGGGTTTGTCGTTGGCCTCTACTGCTTTCCATGCCATTTTACCTTTTTTTTTTCCCCCTTTTCATTTTTTTGTTTTTGTTTTTTGTCATAGGCTGTGTGTGCTCACCAGAGAGAGAGAGGGAAAGTAGGAAATCATCCTCCTAGGAGGGATGACCACGACACAGCCCCTTCTATTTCAGTTTTCTCTCAGGATTTTGGGTATGAACATACATGCGCCTGGCATGGTTTTCAAGCCACTGGGTCTGGGACTTGAACCGCACAGCTGGCCATGTGGGATCCAGTGCTCTAGCCTCCACACCACATGCTGGGATTTCCCTTTGCATTTTTAAAAACTTTTCAGATACTTCTTGGTATTTGCCTTTTTTTTTTTAACCGTTTATACCTTTTTCTTTTTTGAGAGAGAGCTTTTACTGGAGGTCACATGCACTCCCACGAGATGACAAGA